GATAAAATATGTTATTATTGACAAAGAAATAATAGCTTGAGCATGCTAAGAGTGCAGCTGTTTGAGAGATAAGGAAGTAGTGTTAAGTGTTATGGTTATCAAATAGTGGCAGATGGAGAGGAAGTTGTCTCCTTGTGTGGGACAATGTAAATACAAATTAATTTGGAGCATTCTTTATTAGTATAATGCAATTAGCTGAAACCTTGAGCAATTACCATAGATGAGGTGGGAGAGACCAGGAAGAAATCCTAGAGCAGCCGGAAAGACTGTACACCCAGAGTACCTTAGCCAATGGGGAAAAGGGGAAGGACTTGCGATCAGGAATGTATATAATTATGCCGGAGTGTGTATGTGGGTGTGGCTTCTTATTTGCAATGAAGTCCAGCAGCCTTTGCAAATGCTTCCAATAAACTTTACTTCTGACTAACCCAGAGGGATTTGTGATGCTTGTTTCACACACTGTCTCTCTTTTTCTATCTGCTGAAGAAAAGTGGTGCTAGATTCCTGTCATAGACCAATTCTGGTAGCCCTAAATGCATGGGGTTTGGACATCCATGTACACTTCGGTGAATATCTCCACTTCCTATTTTTCATGACCAGTTGCATCATTTATAGCACATTCAGAAAAGTTTGAAGATATTCTGGGAATCTCTATAAAATTTATCAAAGCAAGAGTGCTGAAGATAGGACCCAACTTGAACTTCTACGCCCTCTGACATTTAGCATCTCATGAGCATGCACAGATTTCAACTGAATGTGAATCTTATGAAAAACATTCTTCAGAAGTTACTCATCTCTTCTGATTACTTTTTCCCCCAAACCTCCTTTGGAATATGTCATTACAATAATTGGCCTCCTTGCACCCTGGGAATAAGCTGACAAACCTCTATGCAATACCAGGAAAAACATATATATTTTTTTTTCCCTTGCTGTTTTGAATAATAAAGAACTCTGGTGAGCTAATCATCTGCCTAGTCTTTCTTTCAGTTTGGTAATTCCCTGTAAAAGACAAGGGGACATTGCCAGTCTGCCACTTTAAGGCTAAATGATGCTTGAAACATTCTTCTTGAACTTAAGTCAATAGGTAGATGTTTGTTGTCAACCTTCTTGGCTTTCCAGCTGAATTCCGGCTGTTGAGTTGAGAATACTCCTCCAAACATGGGGGAAGTGAACAGTTTTTTTGCACAAAGATTTTCATATATTACAGTTGGGATGTTGGCATTAGGAATGCTTCCTATGAGCATTTGCAAAGTTAATTTTTCAAAAGGAGCTAGCAGTGACCCCAGTCCCTTTGTTCACAAATACCATGAACCAGGGGACTTGATTCTTGGTGGTATAATTTCTCACAGCTTTGTAGTTTCAGAGATGATCATGTTCAGAAGACACCCTTTTGAAGACATTTTTGTTGAATTTATGTAAGGAGTTGGATGCTTTAGACCTCTATTGTATCTCTGTCTTGGTAATCATCAGAAGTGTTGAAAGTGCAATTTGCTTCTTTTTTTCTTGGGGGAGTGAGATGGGGTGGGGTGGGGAAGTTCTGCTGCCAAATGATGTTTTCTTTCTTGTTTCACCAATATAGAGGAGGAGAAGGAGGAACTTGAGTATTACTGTTGGAAATAATATTCAGAGGCATATCTACAGAAAAAGACACACACGTCTATATCTATATCAGTTCTTGTAGAAGTCAAAATTGTTTAACAATTTTAAATCTTACATGTGGATCATTTTTCTGTGAAAGACAAGAGAGCCAAAGGCCCAATCTCTTTCACTGTCTTCTTTCCAAGAGGTAAAGGTGATAGATAGGTAATATTTATTTCAGTCAATGACCAGATAAAAGAAAACATATAAACTAACTACAACACAAAGCTTTCCAGCAGAAATTTCCAACTTGACAATTATTTAAATCTACGAAGGTAACCATTTCATACTACCTCTGAAAAAATCATCAAGTGTTTTATTTTAGGAAAACCAGAAGGATTTCTCATCTGTACAAAATCTCCCTTGGAACTCCTGAAATTTGCAGAGAAAGACAACTGCCTTCACATTAACTCCTTTTTTTTTAGGGAATGAGGAACATGATTAAAATTTAAAAATGGCTAGCATTAATGGTACCATGGATCTCCTGAGAAAATTTATACAACAAATTTTGTACAAGTAGCGTTAACGGTGGAATTGTATTTTTAATATTTAGCTGTTACCTTCCAAAGTAATGGTAGTGTGTATGTGGAAACATTTCCAATATATTTTATATAAAATCAGTAATCAACTCCAGAGTTATTAACCTTGCAAGTGGGTCTCTCAGCAATCAATTGTATTGAAAGGATTTAGCATTTTTCAATTGAATTGCAGGTTACTAACTCAGACCTATCAACACATCTTGGCTCTCGTATTTGCTGTAAAGGAGATTAATGGAAATCCCCAGATCTTAACCAATGTCACCCTTGGCTTCCACATCTATAACAACTATTTTAATCCAAAATTTACATATGCAGCTACAATGGAACTTCTCTCCACACCAGACAGATTCATCCCAAACTATAAATGTGGTTTCAAGAATAATCTGGTAGCTGTCATTGGAGGACCTAACTCCAATGATTTTCTTCACATAGCAACTATTCTGAGTCAATATAAGATTGCACAGGTATTTTTTTTTTTTTTCATGAACAGCAAAAAAGAAAAAACAAATTGAGGAAAATGTCCACAATTCCCTTTCCTGTTAGATAGGAAAGTTTTTGACATCTATGGGGTAGGTATTGGTAGGCTTCTATTATTTCTCCAGGAAAACTGGATAAATGACACATTCCTTTTTTCTTCACACTAACATATCCCTAACTAACTCTATTAAAAAGTGGTCATTCAATGTGAAAATTTTATTAAGATCAGGACCACATGATCCCAGTCTATTTCAAGCAACAGAATGATAGGAATAAAAGTGTGCAGTGTTTTACTGGGGGCAGGGGGAATGCATTTTTTCTGGAAACCACCCTTCTGTTTTCTCGCTTTCATTCTGCTTTTCCAATTGCATTCAATTAGCTTGCATATTCTTCTGCTCCAGAGGCGAATAGACCAAATCAAGCAGTTCCCTTCCACTGGATGTTCCCAAATGCTGATTATCAATATCATGGGATTCTCCAGATGTTACTATATTTCAAGTGGACATGGATGGGGATATTTTATATCAATTTTGGCAGTCAAACAGAATTATTACTTCGGAAAGTATTACCTTTCTTTTCACAGCATGGCATCTGTTTAGCGTTCATTGAAGAGTTACCTGGTGGGACAGTAGGTGAGTCTGAACTGTTTTTGGAAACAGCCCAGGCCAAAGCAAGCCTGGCCAACAGCTAATACAGTGATATTTCATGGAGAATTTCAGAGTGCAGCATTTTTATGGTTTTTATTCAAACTTTCAGAAAGTGATGATATGGCAGGAAAAAAAGCAAAAGTCTGGATCATGACAGCGGATGTGGACTTTTCATCACTTCTATTTCAAAGAAGCTGGAGTGTTCATTTCCTCCATGGTGCTGTATCTCTGGCAATACATTCACAAGAAGTGTCAGGATTCCAGAAATTTGTTGAAATGAGGAATCCTTTATTTCATAGAAGAGATGGCTTCCTGAAGGAAATTTGGCAGCAGGTCTTTAATTGTCTGCTTCCAAACTCTACAAGTGACACAAAGGAAGGGAATGTCTGCACTGGCAAGGAGAAGCTGGAGACTCTCCCTGTAACCGTGTTTGAAACAAGGATGACTGCGCACAGTTACAGTGTCTACAATGCTGTCTATGCTGTTGGACATGCTTTGTGTGCCCTGTATTCATCCATAAACCAGCAAAGATCAGGGGTAACATGGAAACTTCTTCAACAGCAGTCATGGAAGGTAAATCAGCTTCTTGGAATAGTGCAAGATTTCTCACTATTTCTGTTGATGTAAAGCAAAATTGCAAACCTGCTTCGTTTAACTGATCCCTGTCAGATGTTTATGACCTGAGATCTTCATATTTCCATGAAGAAGAACCAATGTCTTCTTCATGTTGGATGTATATATTAAAATCTGTGGCTCAAGTATATTTGCAGAGCAAAAAGTTGGTTGAGCTGCCCTATGCTTTGTGTTCTACATGTATTTAACAACAACAACTCCTCCTCCTCCTCCTCCTCCTCCTCCTC